TCATTAAATAAGTAAATTTATTTAATATCACAAATTTTACATAAATTAAAAATATTAATTATTTAAATAATACATTAATTTGTATAAAAAAAGAGACAAAAAAATTGTACAAAAATCATTTCCCTCATTATTGTTTTTGTCCACTTCTAATTGTAATACTTACCATAAACGTGAAGTTTTTTAATATAGTTATCATACTTTTTATTTTATTTAAGTTATTTTTTGAAGAATATTTTATTTAAGTTATTAAATAGTTTGTTTTAAGTAATTTTAACCATTACTTTTAAATGCCCTAATAAATTTCTTATTACAAAATTTTTTTTTGTAAATATAGAAGGCAAAAATGTCTTTTTAGTTTGGCCGTATAGAAAGAAAATGTCTATTATTGGCAATTTAACTTTCACTTACCAGTAATGAGGTTCCTGCTTCTCCTCTTCCATGCATCGTCCGTTTCTTATTAAGTGCTTTCTCATCTTTCTGCAAAATATCATAAACAGAAAATTTTGTTTCGGTAATTGTATCCTTTTCATGGTGCTATGACTCTTGAGGAAGAACTAAAAATTTCACTTACCTGCATTAGGGTTCCTATTGCTTCTCCTCCTATTCGACTCAATCTCTTTAAGCTCCGTTTCAACCTCCTGCAAACTTTTCTCACAAGCAACCAATTCCTCCCAGCTTATTATGCTAGCAATTGGAATTTTTAAAGAGCTCAATATGGTATCCAATTTTGAAACAACATGAAGGATGGATTTCGTTATATTGGAACTCATCATTTCGTCCAAATATCTCACCCCGTTTCCAGATTCTTCAGCCGGATGCATTGCAAGTATCCTGTACACAACAAAGGGTAGTATCTCTTGTTTTCCTTCCTTCAAAGACCTTAGTGCAGATGTTAATTCTTCGAGTGATATCTTGGATTGAAGAGCTAAAACCAATCGGTACATTTCTCCTTCAACATAAAACAGCCAATTTCTCATGACAACCAGAGCTGCGAAGATTTTATTTGATTTGGATTTATAAGCTGTCTCACAAGCAAGCGCTTCCTTTTCTTGGTCAACTTTATCCCTTATCATCAAACTTAAGATTCCAAAGTGTCCTTCTGTATCCTCAATACCCTTCCAATTCACTGGCCATGTGATTCCTGTATCCAGAGTTCTCTGATGAAGCTGGCGTAGCATATGAACAATCATCCGAAAGGATTTCGCAATGTTTCTCAAAGCTGAAACCAAATCTCGTGTAGCGTTGGAACTTAAAATTTTCATGACTTCTCCCAACTTATTAATCAATCCCTCTATTTCTGCAAAACCACAGTCCTCTTTCTTTAGCAAAGACCTCAAGTTTTGAACCCTTTCATGATCATAATGACCCGCCTCCAACTCCAATGTATCAACAACATGAGTTCCTCTGAGATAATTTATAATCAGAGACTCAATATCCATTCCAATCAGTGAAACAAATTTCCTTGCCACATCAAAACAATCATCCTCATGGATTTCAGCATAGTCAAACGGAAAAGGTCGAGCAGATTTTGTCTCTATCTCTGCTCTTAATAGCCAAAAAGAAAGTTTTGCCTGACAGACATTAGACCAATCTAACTTCAACGATTCTTGGAAATAAATACTATCTCTTATAATAACCTTGTCACTAGGAAAACCGTATCTCATGAGCAAGATATCTTTGAGATTCCCACACATGTCATCACCTATATATGGTACGTAGGAGTAATGGAAAAATTATCGCAGACGGGAAAAAAGAAAAATCCATATAATTATTAAGAGAAAATATAATTTGATGAAAACGTAATAAGAATGAGATATAAATTGACACTTGCATAAATAATAGAAACTACCATTGAACTATATCTAAGAATGAGATAAAAACTGATATATACCTGCAACAAGAATGGAAACTTCCATTGCACTATCGTGGAAATCGTCGCTCAAGACCACAGATTTGTCAGAATCTGTCGGTATCATCTCTTTGAAGGCTTTTGCAGTGATCACGAACTCTCTCCTGGAGGAGCTACTCAGTTCTGTCGATTGAAAATCTTTCGCCAACAGATTCAATCCCTCTGTCCGCCGCCCCACCCATGCTGTCCATCCTTCTGAACTTGAAATGCTCGTAGACTCAATTTTCTTCCTCTCCTTCGGTTTCTCCGACAGCTCCGGCGCCGCCATCCGTCTGTCTGAATTCGAAATGCTCTCGAACGCCATTGATCAAGGATGGAAAGAAAGGTTTGCAATTCTGCTAGCTGCACCTTTTTCGGACAAGTGTTGTCATGCATTCATGCGCGGAATCCCTGGTTATATTACCGTACTAACATCATAACATGCCATCGGACCGGTGAAACCGGGAACCGGTGAGCAAACCGGTTTTCTGTCCGGTTCGGGTTTCAAAACACTGTACAGAAGCCTGTGACCCGGATACCAAGGTTTTTGTGAAAAACCCTGGTGGTGGTGTGGCATGCTGTGATTCGCAGGAATGCTGTTGACGTAACTCAAAAAGGGTGTTGATATGGCATGCTGTGAGACATGCAGGGGACTGCCTAAATCAACTGGTCCAATTTCTTATGCCCAACACCAGCTTAACTATATTTGGGCCAATTCTGCAGGGCTTTCGGCCCACGCATTCCAAGTATCCATTGAGCACAACAGTTTTCCTTCTTTCTCTCTCACATTGGTTTTCTTTTTGCAATTTTATTCAATTTTCATTCCTCTGCATTTTATCCGGAAAATAAAATAATCTAGGCTTTCTGGTGTCTGATGCAATTTCAGATTTCTCCTTTGGTTCCTCTGGTCTTCTTCTTTGTTTTTATCCTTATTCTAAGCCTAACCGTCTTTTTATTTCTGTCAATCACAAAAATTCAAACTCTAGGCCCACGTCCACTTTTAAGACTTCATTTTTTTTTTTTTTTTTTACTTCTTGCTTTTGGTGTTCCTTTTTGCTTTACGGTTGCTGTTCAGAAATAATTGGGGAGATTCATCTTCTGCAGATTGACCACGATGACTGTAATTTCCGAATTTCCGTCCGTCCGTCCGCTGGATTCGAACTGCTCCGACTCATTCGAGACCAACTCCTGCTTGAAGGAAGCAACAGGAGGATAGATGCCTAAATTTTGGAGTGATTTGAATAAAGAGCAATGGATGGTGGTATTGAATCTTTTCGAGAAAGCTTTTAAGTTAACAGAGCTGGGGAGCTGCTCTTGGAAAAGTCTTCAGAGAGATGGTACTGGATCCTGACAGATCTGTGGAGGTCTTGAACCTAAATTGGATCTGAAGTTTCCATTAATGAATCACATTACTCAATCAGGTATGAATTCGTAAATCTCATCCCTATTTTTTAATCAACTGTCTGTGAATTGATTTTAAAACACTAGTTGTTGACCCGGTTAACTAGCTAAAACTGAAATTTATAGGTCGGAGAACAATATACCTTAAGTATTACTGTACTTTATCTTAATAAATATGATTTTATTTATAATTTTTCTTTATCGATTCTATAGGCGATTTGAGGTCTTTTCTAATTAGAGGACTATGGTTTTGCAGAAATTGAGAAATTGATTAATATGTTGGAAGGAATTATTAAAAATTTGAGTTCTGATGATGTTCTACTGGATAGGTTGCAACTTTGAGAAATGGATTGAGGCATAAATTTAGTTGATTGTTCAAAAACTAGGTCAGCTTCATGAGAGAGTAGCTTGGGATACTTGAATTACATGGGCAGTGAATTGGAAGGGTATTAAGGACACTGAAGTAGAATTTCTTGGCTTTTCTTGGCTTGGTTATGATCGTAAAGGATAAGGTTAAACAAGAAAATCGATTGTTTACTTGGAAGACAGCTTATAAAGAAAACAGGATCGAAATCATCAGTAGTCTGGTTGCTATGAGAAATTGGGTGTTTTACGTTGAAATTGAACTATACAGATTGGTTTTGGGTCTTGAGTTTAAGACACCCTGGAAATTGACATCTGCACTGAAGTCATTGAAGGAAAGCAAATAAGGGTTTGGAAATTTACATCTGCACTAAAATAATTGAAGGAAACCATGGAATGCTACCATCTGTTGTGTCTGGGGTACTTAAATGCACCTAGTGGAGGCATCAGAATCTAGGGATGGGATGACAGATTTGGATGAAATGAGTTCTGTTATAAACTTGTAATGGAACCCATCCTTGTTATTGTTTCACATATGGATACCATATGGAGCACCTTCGTTTCTCCTGCTAATATAATAAGCTGGAACAAATTAAATGCTCAAGAAACTTATGGAGGATATTGGGTTAACACTTAGAGAGGTTGATCCAAAGATGCATGGATGAGAAAGTTATGGAACAGGGACCTCAATGCAGATAAGTGAAAGTTAAAACTCCTATAGACATGTTCTACCATTTGCAATCAAATTGGTTAGGTGGTTTGTATGTGCAGCTGTTTGGATGTGCAGGTGTTGAGGATGTTTCGACATATTGCAGAACATTGGAAGATGAGTAGTATTAGCTCAATAAGCTTGATTTGCTGGTAATTGACTGTAATTATATTCTGCTCTGAATGTCCTTAACTAAAGAGGAAAATGACATTGCTGACTTGCTGTCTTCCTTGTTGAAGAGGACAGGCCAATTAGAGAGAGAAGGAAATGAAAAGATTAGATTTGTGGGCTCGGTGAAAATGCTCAACTCTCAGACAGAAGTCTAACTTCAAGCCTTTTCTTTAATTTGATAAGAATTGAGAGCTCAAGTATGGTTGCTATTTCAGCTTTAAGATATGATTATGCTGTGTGATTTTTGAGATGCCGTACCTTCCTTTCAGAGAACAATTCTGAGCTCACAGAAGAAGCAATTGCTTTGATTTGAAGTGCGGTGTTGAAAACTACCTGTATCCTATTATATGTATACAATTTCTTAATCAATCAATGAATTTCGATTTTTCTGATAAAAATAGCTTCTCACCAAAAAACTGCAATGTATTGAATGTATCAATGGTTAGTTTATTGACGGTGAAGCCAACACGTTTCTGCTGTATCTCTTTTAATTGCTACAGGAATGCACATTGATATTAAACTATATTACAATCATACATTCACACTCCCCACGCCGGCCCAGGTGTGTTTTGCCTGATAAAAGCCCAACTCTTTTATTTTCTTACTCCTTCCAACCCAAAAGCCCAAGAGACGCCTAATCCTAATTCCAGTGTTGAGGCTTTTAAAGCTCTAGATTTGGTATAAATATGGGTATAATTTAATATATATATATATATTAAGGATATGAATTTTTTTACTAATTAAGGATATTTTCTTTTAAAAAGTTTTTTATTAAAAATATGACATTTGAAAGATTATGAAAGATTAAAATTTTGTTTGGAAACAGTTTTCAGTACTTTAACTTTTGATTTTTATGTATTTTTATTATTTTAAAAATATATAAAATACAAATTAAAATAAATATTAGATATATTTTTGAAATGTTAAAAAGCTAAAAAAACCTGCAATTATAATTACAGTTTAATACTATCAAACTAATTCTATTTCCTTATTTATATCACGTTCAATCAATAAGATAATAGAGATTTTAAAATATTAAAAATTATCTTATTATTTGATTATCGATGTGATCTAAAAATTATGGGAAAGTCTCATACAAAAAATGTCGAAAATGAAAGTGTATTATGAGTGCACCGATGCTTCATACCAAAACCCACATAAACTCATAAAGTAAGATTCGAGCTTTGCGGTTTTACCACAGCAATAGAGACTTCACAGGCTTTTTATGACAATTTGGTTATCAATTATATGTGAAACTAATGTCATTCTTTTTCTGCCTCATTTTCTGCCTCAACGTTAATGAGTTGTTCAAGTGTACTCAAAACTCGATATAAATATATAATATATAGTAACTAGAATTTCTATCATTTAAAATAAAGTTTTGAAATATTGCAATGGTTAAATTTTTATTTTATTTTATTTTTATCTTTCAAAAATTAAATTATTTTTATTTCACATTTTGAAACATTGAGATATTGGAGGAAATTTTAACACAACTATTATATACAAAATCCCAGAAGTGAATAAAATGAAGGACAAAATTGATAGAGAATATTGAAATTGTATTTGATGATATTAATTTGTGCAAAATTTGTGTGTACATATATAGTTACATAGAGAAATGATTTTTGTATAATATTTTTATCTCACTTTTTTGTACAACCGACGTGTCATTAAAATGATTAATTCTTTTAATTTATGTGGAACCTGTAATATTGAATACATCCACTAATTTAATGACACGTGGAAGTTGTGTAAAAAGGTGATATAAAAAAGTTATTCCTATTACACCACCCTAGTTACATAAGCATAATTACAAGAATGCATTTAGATCCTAGAGCTCTGCCTACAATCATGGAGATGATTGTTGCATCAATCGTTCCTTGTAGTGTGCTTTGGTTTTTAATTGCCTGATATACTTTCCCTTTTTCCTTTACTGGTTGTTTCCTTAATTGGCCAAGGTCCTGATTCTTTGCTTTTTAATTTTGTATTTGAATCAACTTCCTTCACAGGAAGTTAGGTAAGTGACAAATATAACTAAATTAGTAAACTCATCGAGGTTAGATTATGATTGAATTGTTTATATTGGATAAAAGAGCTGGTGTGGCTAAAGCTGAAAGGGAAAAGTTTTACAGGAGATGTATTTGAAAAAGATTTTGATATTGTTTACAAACTCTATCTCGTTCTTCTATAATTCTTTTGTTATGATTTGCTATTACTTGATTCGAATTATATAGAGCTATGAAAGTCCTTAACTAAAGAGCAAAACAGTCTGATGTCCCATATAATGATATATGATTTTCCTTAGTATGAATTATGAATTAATATGGAATAATTATTTTTGATACCCTGTATTTTCTTTAACAAAAATCTTATAGCATTCGTATTTCCTGATTTCGAAGCAGCTTTTGCCGGGAATTCCCCTTCATTATTGTTAAGCAACCTGTGGTTGTGCTAATACTGGTTTATCCAATATATCATTCAGTCACCTGCTGCAAAGTGACAAACAACTTGCCAGCTTCAGCAAGCCTGCACTATTAAAATGTGTAATAAATGGTGGAATAGAGAGATACGATTCACTATTGGATCATAGGTCTTTCTATCTTCCAACTTTGTCTTCTGTAATGATTTCAAATTCCCTTGCATCGACTAGGGAAAATGTTTCAAGGCTGGAAGACAACTGTGAACAATATATATACCTATTCGGATATAACAAAAGGAATATTTATTTCAAGAAGAACAAGAGTACTCTAACCCTTATTCAAGAGTTCAGGAGTGTATTTCAGGAAATACACTCCTAGTGGCACAAAAAGGTCTTTGGCTAGACAAGAAAGTCACCTTGACCTTCGCACAGCACTACATCAAAGTTTCACACAAAATACAACATAGACAACAATTTGCACAGAGAGAAGTTTAAGACTTACAACATCTTTCAGCGTCTAACATCACTTGCACCCCCTGAAATACTCTAATTTGGAAACAAGCTTTCCAAGTCTATCAAATACACTCACAGTGGCACAAAAAGGCCTTCACACAACACTACATCCAAGTTTCACACAAAATACAACATAGACAACACTTTGCATAGACAAAAATTGAAGATTTAAACAATCCTTGAGCATCCAGCATCACTTGAGCCCCCCTTAGATGCTCTTCTTCGGGGTCGTGTCTTATGAAATTGGGTTGGATGAGTATGCCTGTCTCCCTGCACAACAGGCTGTTCCATTAACTTTGTGTACACTAATTAAAATAAACCACAAGTTAAAACACATGGAAACTAGCATCAGTCTTCAAACCTGGAGTTCAGATGGGTCATTTATATAGATACCAGGTCCGCGTGGCGCTTTTCTTCCCTGCCCTTTACTCGACTGTCCATTTTGCTCCATCTCTGCTGTCATAGGGGCCTTGCCCTTGTCTTTTCTTCTCCCATCAAACGAAGTACCAGCCTCCTGCAAACAGAATCTCAAATTAACATATTAAGAAAAAA